AGACGAATTGAGTACCTCCTTCTTTTGGGAAGTCGGTCAAACAAACGTACGCGTTTAAGCTGTGTCTAGAGTTCACAGCAAAAGTTTTATATAGCTACAGCCAAAAAAGGAAATGTTCATTTTCATTCTTACCATTAAAATATAAACGAAGATATAACATACTGCCTTCCAATTTATTAAAAAGCAGCATTTCTCCGGCTTCTGCACTGTCATGCTACGACTGAAAGAGACAGAAATACAAAAATCAGTAATAATCGATGCCCCAATATTAGTTTTTAAACATGGTTTGAATTAATCTTACCGATGTTGAGGAAAATCCAGAAGTTATAAACAAGGAAACTTTTATGGACTACCTAAATAACTTTATCTCCGATAAATAGTCATTTGTATTGATTACAATGTTTGCGAATAAGGAAAATCTTGGTAAATAAATACCAGTTTTTGTTATCCCATTCTAACATCGGGTCATCTCTTTCTACCAGTTTTGACGATGCACGAGTTAAAAAGGGTTGAATGGTAACCTGTATTTGGTCCTTTACTGTTCCTATTTTTTTGAAGTTATTGAAATAAGAAAGTTAATATCTGAATTATTTCTTAATACACTTAAAAACAAACGATTAATTATTTCCATAATTATTTTAAGGAAACCAATGGGAAAATCATAGTGAAATACAGAACCTACTTTAAGATTATCTTTTCCGTTCCGTTTATTTACCACTTTGACGTGACATTTTAATGACAATTTCAATTTGACATTCTACTGTTTTGAGAAAATATTTTATTTATATAAATTTATTCTAAACGGAATATAAACGTGTGATTTGATATCGTTATATGCAAACTGTCGACTCAAATCAATAGGTAAAGAACGTAATAAGGTATCTACCCTTTAATTCATCATTTAATCGCTTATGCCGAAAGATTTATTCGAAAACGTTAACTCTCAAAGTAAAAGTCTTTCTAAGTACAGTCGCGAGGAAATAATATAAAAATCTAATTAAATTAGTGTACTTTTACAAACATGTTTATAGAAAGTTCTCCGAGGTAACAGGTACAAACATATCTTTAGGTTAAAAAGCAAATTTAAAAAGCATAACAACGAAAATGAGTACTACGGTAATTCACAAAAAAATCTAATACGTAAAACACTATCACGATTTAATTATTAGTGATGCTTAACAATATATCAATTTGTTTAAAAAATATCAAGCTATAGTTGTCTAAGATAAAAAGAAATTATTTATTACACTAGTGTGAAGAAAACATGTAAAAAGTCAGTATTAAAAAAATAATAATAAAATGTTTTGTTAGCAACTGTCCCTTTGAAAGTTTAAACATTAATTTACCTTGTTTATATATTTTTTTGTGAACTCACACAATATAGTTACACCTTTTATTTAAAAACACACTGTATTTTTACACGGTACATAAACATATAATTTGCGATATGGACTGAAAATAATTTCATGTATATGTGCTGCGCAGTGCGCAAGCGACTAAGACTAACCAAAACGTAAAATAGTGAGTAGTGACTACACTCGTTATAACGTAACGTTATTAAGTTTTAACGTAACGTTATAACGGTGTTACCTTATGCTACGCGTTGTTGACGCTATTATAAAGTGTTTAATATTAAGTATAAATCTAATAAACTAAGTAATTAATCCAGCAAAATATCAATCCTTTTTTAAAAGATATTTTGTACATTCATACACCTAATTTAAAAACAATATTAACCATAACGGCTACTTTAAAAAAACGCTGAATTATCAAGCCCTACGCCCACCTGTAACACGTTCATTCATTTGTTATGTCTGTATGCGTGTATGCGTCTCTTTCAAACTTAACGATTTTCATTAGAGTAAAAGAGACAACATAAAAATGTCCTCTTTCTATAACAATTGCTCATTGGAATTTCCATAGAAAGCGGGTATTTATGTTTACATCAAGAGGTAAAGTTATTTTAAGATATGTAATGTTATGCAATTTTATTTTGAAATATCTTTAACTAAAATACCCTACTCTGATTGTTTTTACGTTACTGAACTTTTACGAATCTGTAAAATTATAACTGTAATTTATTTTCAGATATCAAGATGTTTGTTTGTCGAAACTTTTGTCTTTGCATGGATTTACGGAAAGGATGTATAGCTATAGCGTATTTTCAAGCGGTAACAAAAAATAACCTAGTTTGTCTTGATTGATTCAGCCATTTAGGTTACGAAACACAAAGAAATGGAAATAAAACCTACACAAACGTGTACCCATTATATTTATTACTAATTTCTGTCTTGTTTTCGAAAAATAACAAAGTTTAAATAACTTACTAAAATTAATAAATGCGATAGTTAAGATGGATTAATGTTTGTTAGAGTTTGCCGCCTAAATGGCCGAACGGAACTCGTTGTTTAGCATAAATATCTGGAAGAACACATACGCTACTTTTTTTTTAAATCCTCCATAAAACTGTTACAGGTTCAACAATTATTACTAATGATCTATACATTACGAGCTTTATTTGAAGATTTTTATTTCTTCAAGACTTGCAGCAAAGCGTTATATGAAGAGTCGTCGTTTATGCTCGCTTATTCAAAGGCTGTACATCTTTTCTTACACACGCTATATTTGATTTTAACCTGTTCACTATTGGTTGGATTGCATAAGGTAATATCATTATCAAACAAAGACACTAACTTTTTTTTTCACCACTGCCTGAAAGGTACTATATCAATTGTTATGTTTAGTGCCACCTAGTGTGCGTAACATGTAATAAAACATTTTACAAAATTATATAAGCGCCATCTTTTTTTATAAAACAAACTAAAATATAATTTAAAGGTTTTCTTTGACATTTGAGTAATTTATTTTTGCAGGGGATATCAAGAATTATTAAAGACTATCTGATCTGTGTATTTATTTACATGGTATTCTATGCTTTGCTATACCTTTTAGCGTGGATTTGTCTAGATGATTTTGAAATAGAGGGTGTGGGACCGCCTATTAATTTAAGTAAGTGTTATATAATGGCTATTGAAATATTATTATTAATAAAGAAATTGTAATTTATAAGACGGACGAAAGAGACACCTGAGAGAAAAAATTGCAAAACATATTGTAGTTAATATTGCTATTACAATTCCACAGTTAAAGTTAGTACTTGAGTTGCCACGGCAGGCAATAGACTACCATTGTTCCTAACTCAAATACCACGTAATCGTATTTAGAAATTGCATATTTTCAGCTCTTAATATCTATTTTCTCCTGATGATGCGCAGTTACTGGTTAAAGATGTACACGAAGCAATCTTTGAGTGTAAATGCATAGTTTACCGCCATTTTGCCTGTTATTCAAAATGGCGTTTAGATATCTGTCACATGTAAATAAAAATATTTTTCAACGTCCTGTCGATATTCGTTTTATTTATTTAATTCAATGTTAATAAACATAAAATGTTTAATGTTCTTATTGTTTTATTTATAAATCATGATATTGTCTGGTTGTATCGAATTATTCTGTTCCAATAGCTTCTAATGACGAAGATGAAATACACGTGAAGAACTGAAAATAAAATAACAAACATTAAAAAGGAATACAATAAACACTTATTTAACTAATTAAAATAAAATTGTTAGTTAATAAAGTTGTTAATAAAATAAAATAGGTTATTGTCTTACTTAAGCTGATAATCTTATAGGCCACATCAATAGCGGAAACTAGCAGCAAAGGGAAGGACACGAAGCCTGTAGTAGCCGCTACTATGAGATAAACCATAGAGCATAGGAGGTACGCGCGGATGTAGGCGTCCTTTTTCTGTATAGAACATTAAAAATTACTGAATTAAACATTGGCGCCAATCAGTTTTTTAATCTGGAAACCACAGGAAAGAGAAACATTTTCTGTATAACCTTTTTGCTGTCTATTAAAGGTTAGGTAGACATAACTTCTTGCATCGGCAACGCTATTTTAGTGAAAACCGACGGTCTTATACCATATATCTTACCATTATAAACGCGAAAGTTTATATGGATTTTGATTAGACTGCCCAACTGCTGAACGGATCTATATGTTTGGTGTAGATAGAGTAGTCTGTAAGAACACATTGACTGTCTTTGTTTTTTTCATCCCGCATGTAACCAACCCTTGGCCCAACTATAGTTACCTTTCCCGCTCTTTTTCTTATTAGAAAAGGATAGTAAGGAAACGTGACACTAGAGGAGACGCATAAGAGGGGAAATACGCTCTCTATGTGCGTTTCCTCCTCCGATTTAGGGAAGGCAACGCATCCGTTATTGCGAATGTCTATGGGCAGCGGTAATTCAGGTGGCTTGCTCGTTTGCTACCTTATGATATAAAAAAGGAAGAAGATGCAAAAGGTATAAAAAAAATGAACCTTACCTTATGCAGTCCGATAATCAGGACGATAGTAAATGCCAGCATGAATGCAATAGCGAGAAGGAACAGGCCGCTCAGTGTCATCATAATAAAGCCCATGTCGGTGATGGCCTTGACAGTTGATGTCAGCATTATAGAGCCCTCAACAATCCCGTACAGTGATAGAGACAATGTAATGACTTCAATTAACTGGAACGTAATATAAAAGAGTTAACTAAATTGCGTTTGAATAAAGTTTGAATGTGTGTATTAGGTGAATCTGACTAGATCTAAACTCTGGGTAAATTTATTTTTCCATTTTTGGGTCATAATGGTGGTATTATCAGCCTTTATCTGACTATTGTTGGATATAGGCTTTCCCCAATACCTTCAACATAATGCGATCTGGAAGAATACATAGGCTACTTGCTTCTTTTTTAATTCCACGCTGACGGCGACGCCTGCGAAAGCTATTATTGAATGAAATGTATTGTTCGTGTATATTGCCGATGTCTTCATGCGTTAACCGGTACTGAGCAGAAAATACGAGACGCAATTCTTAATGTTGGTACTGATCGACAAATCTTCTGCCGTCGGCTTACCAATTGAAAGTACGCGATGATCAAACAGCCAAATCTTAGTTTGACGCAGAAGCAACATTTCTCTAAAACAAACATTGTATTCGGCATTCTGTAACACGAAAGAAACAATATTTTGATAATTAAAAAACACAAACTACTGAGGCTAATGAAAAAATTGCAAAGCATCTTGTAGTTAATATTGCTATTACAATTCCACAGGCGTATAACCATCCTGAAAGAATGATAATGCACTCAAATGAAAAATTAAAATCGGTACAGTCTTTTAGAAAAGATCACAATTTTTATGACCGTCCCTTTACAGTTTGCGCACCTTTGACCAAACTATTGCACAACTGTTGTACGATTGTCGATTGTTTCGCAGCCAATTCAACTGTTTAGTTGCACAACTAAAAATCGAGTAGTGTGACCTCCATATAAGCTAATAGGAACCAAAGCGAGACTGAACAGTTGTGCGATAGTTTAATCAAATGTAGGTAAATAGGTTTACAATTCAGTAATATGAATTTTGCATCGCAAGGTAAGTTAACATTGGTGAAAGCTTCTGTATAAACTTATTAACTCTTAATAATATTAAACCAGTTTACGTTTTATTATCATTTTATTGAAAACATTAAAAGTCACGGTCGTATAAAATAAGTGATTCAATAACAAAGATGTGATTGGAATTATGAATCTTTTTACATAGAAATTAATGCATTCTGTGTTTAAATTGCTTTGTAATTGTTATTCATAGTGGTTTTCAAACTTTTGATGTAAAAGTAATTTTATTTAGCTGATATTTTGAAGTTTTAGTATTGACGAATCAAAGAGCATTTCTGTTTGTTTAGGATGATATCGAAGATTCAACCTATTAATTAGAAGCTTAAGGCAGATATTAGAATATCTTAATAAACTCTAATATTATTACTTTTTAAATATAAAATGAAATACAGTTTGGGAAACACTTTTATGATTTTTTAAGTAATATATGTTAATGAAAGTAAAAAGACTTTAAATTTATTATACATTAAGTTGTAGTGAAATAATTCTTTTCCTAAAGTATATTAAATCTTGGAATATCTAAAATTAATCTTTCTTTCATTTCCAAAATTATTAACTAACTTTTATATAGCCTGAATACATTACTATCGTAATTTCCTTTAGTACACTTTTTAAGTTCGATTTATACCTTAATTTTATGTACTTACATTTATTTACATGGAGGTTGTAATAGTAGTAAATATCAGATTTACAAAGAAAAAGTTTACACAAAATCCATGTATTCACAACTAAAGCACAACAAATACTAGCGTTATTTTTAAATAAGTCTACATTTTGCATCTCGTTTAACCTGTTTATTAGCACTGTTTTATGCTAATAAATGAAGAGAAAAGTTTTGTTTATATTTGCAAGCCTTTTAATGATAAAGTTGTCATTTAAATTTCTATAAACCGACAATTCGATGTTTCAAATAAAACACGTTTTTTGGATTTGAAAAGGGTTTTCTTTTAGTAACAATAAACCGCCAACACATAACTAGAATCTGTAATAGCAATTATACGTAATTAAAGTTTGCTATTTAAAATTAACAGGTAGTAAAGTAACGCAACCACGACGTTGCCAAATATTTTTTTAAGAGATAAATCCTACTAATATTATAAATGTGAAAGTTTAGATGGATGGATGGATGTATGTTAGAGTTTGTAGCCTAAACGGCTAAACTGATCTCGATGAATGATCTTTGGTGTAGACGTAGAGGATAGTCTGGAAGAACACATAGGCTAATCAATTTTGTATTTTTTACTTCCACGAGGACGGAGTCGCGGGCGAAAGCTAGTGTATTACAAGTACCATAAAAATATTTGTAATCGAAATTCTAACCTAACCCTTAGGTGATGGTAGAACTGTGACAATTCGTTTTTTTACTCACTAATGTCTTATGAGTTGATATCACTTTTGACGAACTAACCAAAAAAATTTAAACCATTCGTCGTTGTTATTTATTGTCGTATTGTATAAACACGTGTTGTCTCTGTCTTGTCAAAAATAATATATGAGATGACAATAGTGTGAAAACAAGCCAGTTACAACTACAAAAAACATACGCAAATTATTGCCAGATGGTTGTAACACGAGCTTTTACTGATAATTAATTTAAAAACATTTGTACCTACGCGCTAAACAATAACATTTTATAATTCAATATACATCGTCGTTTAAATTAAAACTTTAAATTGTCTAATTTATATTCAGGGAGCGATGGATATTGAAAAAAACGGTATAATTTTTTATAATACTGGGTTAGACTTGATAGGAAATATTGGAATTTGTTCATTTCGATTTTGCACTTAAATTAGTTGTATCGAGATGAATTCCACAAGCAATTTTACGGTTTCTGACAAACCTGGTGAAATGTATAGCTTTTTTTGGTTAATAGGGATAGGTGTATCCCTTTTCGGAGTGTTTCTGATGATATGTTTGTTTTTAATAATACCGAAGTGTAGAAAGTTCGATGAGCAAGTCCTCTTTCAGTTGGCGATTGCAAGAACTTTGAATACAGTTTGTGAATATTATATTATGTATTACATAATAAATCAACATTTTATTGTGATAAATGTTATATATACTGTCTATATGCAGACAGATTTTGTTTTATTAATGTGGATGTTTGTGTTTTCGAAGAATTTGTACGATAAAGTGGTGAACGTTTTCAGTATCGAAAAACCGACTATGTTCATTCGTTTCGTTATAATTTGGACTGTTTCTATACCTATTGGTTTGTTATGTCCGTTTTTGATTAATATAAGGAAGTTTCGTTTATATTACGAAGTTTACGCTCATGTTAAATTATTTATAATAATTGTTAATTCGTTATTTTTCTTTAAAATATTCTATGTTGCGATTACGAAGGCTAACGGCACACGTAATGTAAGAGATATTGTAAAATTTGCTATTATAGCGTTTATTTTGATCTGTATTAGTAGTTTACAAGTCTTTCTAACGGATATTTTATCATTTTATTATTATAAATATATGACGTTAATATATATTTTTTGTGTCATAAATTCTTATCAAGTGGTTGCGTTTGGTGTGATTTTCTTGAATTTAGCGAGCAGTAAAACAAATAAATCCCTTGTTAAATCAGTATCGATAAAACTAAGCGATCTCGTTAAAAGACCTTAGTGTACAAAGTTATTTGCAAAATTTACAACCTAAAAAAAATCTTATATGTAACAAAAAAGTGAAGTTAGTAACCTTGTGTTGTTGTCATTACAAAATAACATTTCGAAAATCAAGTCTGGACGTCATACTTGTACGAAATAGATTCCAACCTATCTATAAGTTACATATCTATGTTTATTAGGTACTTGACTTTATTTTATAATTAAATAATTATGAAGTACAATTTTCTTTTACCACCATAATTTCCCACCTCATACATTTTTAACGTTATAGTCACTTTATTGTAAAAATATTTAGTTTTTAGGTTTTACGTTATTTTATCATTATATTATACGAGCTGTTACAAGCGACTTCGTCCGCGTGGTATTAGAAAACATACAAACTATAAAAATTACAAAAAGCTACGTATCCCTCGGGAACCGGACATTTCTCGGGGATGAAGCTTATCCCATGTGTACTGCAAACTTTGTTTTATATCTGTGCCAAATTTCAACAAGATATGTTGGACCGTTGCAGAATGATCGAGTAAACATTAAAAAACTAAATTAATGAATCCCACGGGAACCGTAACTATTCCAGGGATAAAAAGTAGCCTATGTGTTCTTTCAGGCTATGCTCTAAACTTGTGCCAAATTTCATAGAGATCCGTTCAGCCGTTTAGGCTACAAACGCTAACAAACAACCATCCATCCATCTAAACTTTCGCATTTATAATATTCGTTAGATTAATAAGTACAATTTTCTTTTACCGCCATAATTTCCCACCTCATACATTGTTATTAAGGGACTTAACGTTTTAGTCACTTTATTGTAAAATTATTTAGGTTTTAAGTTATTTTATCATTATACTATATTAATTTTAATTATGTTATTACTTCAGTTTTATATCTGTATTGGAATATTAGGCTATTTTGAACAAATAGGAACTCTACTGTATTTCTAAGACATGTTTTGTAATTTCAAATAAAACGTTATAATAAAATGTATTTAAAACAATGAAACTTGATTTTATTACTTTAATCGTTTTATTGAAATTCAGATTTAGTTTTGAGTTATTTTCATTTAATTTTGAACTATTATTCGGTAATTGTTTAAAGGAAATTAAGTAACGGTTAGGAATAATTTTCTGTTATTTGAAAAATAATACGTAAAAAAAAAGATAGGACCAGTTTTATTTGTAAAGTCTGGAACATTGACCGCGATATGTTTTCGTTGAGGCATTGATTAAAATTACAGACTACCCGACGCCGGCCCTGTCATAGATTATATACAGTCCAGACTGCGGAAAAGATAAAGCAGTATTATTGACTTACAACAACGTCATTAAATAGAAATTAAAAAACATATTAAACTCACCAAAAACCTTGGATAATACACAGGAATTTTACAGTGTTTACTAAACACTTCTACCGTGTCAACAGAATATCATCCTAACTAAAATTATTTCTTTTGTTTTTACATATAAATAGGAATATAGGGGGTTTAATTTTTACGCTCTCAACCATTTCTTAAGCTAGTATTGGTATACAACGATACTGCGCCAAAGTACGAGGTGAATTTCACATCTACACTACATAATCTTTGAGAATTTCCCGAGACGCGGCAGGCAACATCTCCGCTCAGTCCCTACGCGACATCTCTGAAACCTGTGCCATTGGGAATTGACGGGAATTTTATAAGAAAAAGAATATCAAAAAATCGACAAATGTAAGTAAATACGTTAATAATTATAAGATGTATGATTTATTCAACTTGAAAAGAGTTTCACGACTTTTTTAGTAACTGTTTTTTAAATAAAACATAATCTACAATTGTAATATAATTTCTTGCAACGAAAAAGGTATTAATATTGTTCCTAATTAGTTGAGGCGTAAGATATTATTACTAAGTAGTAAAACTGACTTAAGCTAGCGAAGTTAACTCAATACATATTTTAAATCGTAAATAAAAGAAGCTACAAAATCAATAATGCAATATAGCTATACCTAACCTTACAAATGAGTCAACTTCCCGACGGCTCCTATGTAAACTATTGTAAGCCATAATTTTGCAATTTACACCTCATTTTATGCTTTTAGATTTACTTGAGTAAAACTAATTTATATGTAAATTGTAAAATTAATTTTAGAAATGACTATATAATTTTGTTGTCTATACCAATATTATAAAAGGGAAAGATTTTTTATTTTTGTATATATATTTAAACTAGCTTTCGCCCGCGACTCCGACTGCGTTGAATTAAAAAAAAAACAAAAGTGAGTAGCCTATGTATTCTTCCAGACTGTCCTCTACATCTATACAAAATTTCATCGAAATTCGTTCAGCCGTTTAGGCTACAAACTCAAACATCCATCCATCCATCTAAACTTTCGCATTTATGTTAGTATGAAGTATAGCTCAAATTCTACTGGGCCGATTTTAAAAATTCTTTCACTGTCAGAAAGGTAATCTGTGAGTAAGATAGGTTATGTTTTTTTTTATTTAAGAGGGCAAAGTCCTATCCAACAGCTATCATATGTCCCTGTTTATTGCGTAATTAACCGTATAAAAGTTCAAAATTTTGACTTGCATTTGCGCTGGAATCATAGAATCGTTTTGTCTGATTGTCAATTGTCTTCGAACAGCGAGGGATGTTTGTATATTTGTTTTACTCCAGTCGTGTATCGAGTGATGCAGTTTTTGCACGCTTTGCGACCGAGTAACATGATATATGGTGATAAATTTATATGAAGATTAATTAAACGCAATTTACAGTACACCATGGGTCTGCCGCAATTGGAAACGTGTTGTTTTGTGTTTGATTTGAAGACCGGGAATATTATCATGGGCTGTTTGAATGCTGTAAGTAATTATATAATCTACTAAAGTAATTAAAAAGGAGCTTAGCATGAAGTAGCCAGCTTCATATCTTCGCACTGCAGGGCTGGTGTAATACCACGACCACACAGAAGTCAGGCGTGAAGCGAGAGCAATTCCGCGTTTGATTTAAGGAGTGTACTCCAAGGACCTAGTTTTAGTCCCTTTCCCTTATCAACCATGTCTTATAAGGAAATAATAGGAAGGGAAAGTAGATTTGACGAAGAGGAGACGCATGGGAAGTGGACATGTCCTCTTTATATGCGCTTCCTTTTCCGTTCATTTACGGTGTCCAAATAATTTGTAATTGCGGATATCTGTAGGCAGCAGTCGCTTCGTTTTCTCGGCGAAGTCAAGGGTTTGCTAGTTTGTCACCTTATCATAAAAAACAAAAGAACATGTTTGGTGTCCCTTTCTGCCCAGCACCCTGGGCGATCGCCCACTTTCTCTCAAATGACTATGCCCTCAAGTCTGCCACTAACACTTAGATTTGATGTAACTATGTAGCGGTTTTGTGATTGTTTTAACTCGGAATAACGTAAAACTTGTAATTTCCAAGC